AGAGACGGGGTTTCACCGTGTTGACCAGGATGGTCTCGATCTCTTGACCTCGTGATCCACCCGCCTCGGCCTCCCAAAGTGCTGGGATTACAGGCTTGAGCCACCGCGCCTGGCCTCCCTCTGTGGTTTTAAGAGATTACTGTGGAGCTCTAAGGAGTAAAAAGAAAATGGAAACATGGGTTTAGCTGGCAGGAACAGAAACGGATGCATGGGAGCAAATGTTCAGAGAAATGGGGTCAGCTGCAAATGGCTCACCTGCACCCAGGCATCATGTCTGCAAGCATTGAGCCCAAGCAGCAGGGCCTTATAAAACTTCCCTCAGGCAACTGCCTCTTGGCAGACCGCCTTCCCTCTCTGTATTGCCTGCTGCTGCCTTGCAATGTTATCTCTCCCTTTTCTCTAGTAAAGCTGCCTTTCTAAACTCATTACTGTCTTGGTAAATTCTCTTACCACCTGCGTGCCAGCCTCAGGCAGTCACTGATCATGATGTTTTGGTGGCCCACATGGGGACTGTCTCTATGGGGGACTCTTTCCCCTCTCCGTTCCTACTCAAGACCCTCGGTGGACAGTCTGAAAGTGTGTGGAGACAACTGAAGGTCTCTGGCCAGGACTACACTCTGGTGAAACTGAAAGGTGTCCATTCAGAGGTATCTAACCACCACTGCTTGCTCTGGTGAGGGACCTAAGTTTACTTTCCTTTTGCAGCCTTCCAGCAGCCAGCTTCCAGTGCCCCTCTGGTGATTGATGATGTCTGGCCAGGCTGCCACTCCCTGGTGTTGCCTGAAGGCCAGGGGGTCAACAGAGCTGGCTGCCTTGCCTGGAAGGGAGAAGGACTCTCCGCTATCCTTCTCTGGTCAAGAGTTCCAGAACTCTACATGTGGTGCAGTTAGCAATGGCAGCTCATCTAGGGTGAAACCACATACGTTTTGAGCGACCTAGACCTTCTCACTCTAAATTCTCCACTGAAGAGCCAGCCATCCTGCTCCAGATGTTTTAATCCAGGTGATCCCAAACAGCACCAGAACAGCGAATCTTCCCTCAACCTCTTCCCCTCAGACCTTGGGCCAAGCACTCAGTGTAATACGTGCCTGGACTGACCTGGGACTGCTCACCCCAGTGGTCATCCCTGGGTAAGGCACCCTAGCTCTGGGAGGCTTTTTCTAACAGGCAGGACGCCCCTTTAGAAAAGTGCACCTCAGAGTCCTTCAGCAGCTGTGAGTGGAGCACTCTTCCTTGGTAGGATGCCCCAAGTGGAAACTGGTTCAACTAGTCCCAAGCGGCTTGGTTTCCCAGTCACATAATTGGACAGACGCTGTCTAGTCCCTCATACTTGCCTCTGGGTTGCATTTGAAAACATTGGAGGTCCGGGCACGGTGACCCACGCCTGTAATCCCAGCACTTTGGGAGGCCAAGGTGGGTGGATCACAAGGTCAGCAGATTGAGACCATCCTGGCTAACACGGTGAAACCCTGTCTTTACTAAAACAAACTAACAAACAAAAAGAATTGGCCAGGTGTGGTGGCACGCACCTGTAGTCCCAGCTATTTTGGAGGCTGAGGTAGGAGAATCGCTTGCACCCAGGAGGCGGAGGTTGCAGTGAGCCAAGATCATGCCACTGCACTCCAGCCTGGGTGACAGTGGTGAGACTCTGTCTATAAAATAAAATAAAAATAAAACATCGGAACAAATTTGATCTCTGAAGTCTCAAAAAGAAATGCTTAATTTTCCTAAGCAATGTGGCTTGCCTGCTTTACAAACTTCTGGGTCAGAAATTCTGGTCTCTGAATGAGACCCTTGTCCCCGATACTATGTTACAGCTTGGCCTTTTCTGTCACAACTCCTATAAATGGTCTGAAGTTCTTTTTTTTTTTTTTTTTTTTAAACTCTATCACCCAGATTGCAGTGCAGGGGCACAATCTCAGCTCACTACAACCTCTGCCTCCTGGGTTCAGGTGATTTTCCTACCTTAGCTCCTACCTTAGCTTCCTGAGTAGCTGGGATTAGAGGCGCATGACACTACAGCCAGCTAATTTTTGTATTTTTAGTAGAGATGGGGTTTCACCATGTTGGCCAGGCTGGTCTTGAACTCCTGACCACGTGATCCGCCCACCTCGGCCTCCCAGGGTGCTGGGATTACAGGCATGAGCTACCTTGCCTGGCCCTGAAGTTCTTTAAGTCCAGGAATTTATGACTGTCTCTCTGGATCCCAGTCTCTGCCAAACCTATCCAATGTGCTTGGCTAAATTCTCTAGCCCCACTGACTCTTCTGACAATAACCCTTTCTTTACCCTTTCTGTTTTCCCCAAGCAGCTGGACTGGTTGAGGCCACCCTGCACATATCACCTTCATGTTCAACCGTACCTACTCCATCTGTTCCTTGTTCCTCACCTCCTTGTCATCTCAACCTTGGATATCATTTTCCAGTTCCACCTCCTTTTCAGGGACTCTTGTCCCCTTCAGGTTGGGGGCCACTTATGATCCCACGTTAGGTCCAGACAAGGTCCTGCTGCTCTGAGAAATGGCAAATGTGCATCTAGGAACTACCAGAGTCCATTTTCCTTTCCCAGTGTCTGACCTCTCTCAGATAGAAGCTAAGCTTTTGTCTCCTTTAGCCAAGACCCTTCCCATTTCATAAGAAAACTGAAAGGACTTACCATTTTATTTAATATCACTTGGCAGGACATTTATATGATCTTTACCACCTGTTGTACTCATGAGGAAAAGTCCTGCCTTTGGTCTGTAGCTCAGTGATGGGCAGATGAGGTTCATGCCTAGAACCCTCAGGGGTCTGGCCTGGGGAGAACGGGAGTTCCTAATGCTGATCCTAGATGGGGCTACAGAGAGGGAAACACTAGCAGGGAATGCTGTAATCATATATTACTTGTTTAATTGAAGGCACGAAGAAGGCTGTCATAAAACCAGTCACCTATGCCAAACTAAGAGAGGTAATACAGGGGCCAAATGAAAACCCAGCTCTATTTTACTCCAGGTTGGCTGAAGCTGTGAGAAAATATACTAATATGGACCCTGAGAGCCGAGAAGTCCTCGGTATTTTGACTGTTCATTTTATTAGCCGGGCTTCTCTAGATATTAGACACAAACTCCAAACACTAGACCAAGAACCACAAATTCCATTCCCCACTTTGCTGGACACGGCCTTCAAAGTCTTTAATAAAGAGGAAAAATTGCAGTGTGAATGAGATAGAAAAGATCAAGAAAGAGATAAGTGGCAGGTTCACTACACGGCTGCTGCCATTGCAAATTCTCTGCCCATCCCCAGGGCCCCAGGTCAGCCGTCAGGGTGGAGCCTAACAGCCACTAAGGAGCCCACTATGTGCTATCACTACAATCAGCCGGGCAAATGAGCTGGAAATGCCCACAGCTTCCCCAACCACATTCTGGTCCTTAGTGACCCTGTCCTCACTGGAAACAAGCAGGACACTGGAAACAGGACTGCCCCTCTCTCCTTTGTGCGGAGGGTCATCACAAAACCAGCAACCCCAGTGTGTGAGCCAGTTTGGGAGAATGGCAACCACAAATGCCCCTAACTCTGTTCTTTGACTCTGAGAAACTTAGGGAACTCAGAAGGCAGAAAGAGATGACTGGTGGGGTCCAGAAGGCATCCAGGCCATCCAGTAACCCTAACTCTGGCAGGGAATAAGATTGAGTTTTTAATTTACACAGGAGCTACTTATCTAGCCCTAAGTAGTTTTTTAGGTCCTACCTTTTGATCCTCAATCCTCCTCGCCAGCATATATGCCAGGCCAGGCCAGGCCACAGCACGGATGCTTCACCTCCCTCAACTTTTTTTTTTTTGAGGTAGAGTCCTGCTCTTTTGCCCAGGCTGGAGTGCAGTGGTGCAATCTCGGCTCACTGCAACCTCTGCCTCCTGGGTTCAAGTGATTCTCCTGCCTCAGCCTTGCGAGTAGCTGAGACTACAGTCACCCAGCTAATTTCTGTATTTTTAGTAGAAATGGGTTTCGCCATGTTGGCCAGGCTGGTCTCAAACTCCTGACCTCAGACTCACAGACTGCCTCTGTGACCTCAAATCTCCTATTACATTTGTTAGTCACAACCCCCGCAAGCCTGGTCTTGATGGTCACTTAGAATCAAAATCTACAAGCTGCTGTCGAACTTCAAGTGTTCTGCCTGCCTTGCCCTCCCAAAGTGCTGGGATTATAAGTGTGAGCCACCATGCCTGGCCACATCCCCCTTAGTATGCACCCTGGGGAAAAATGTTTTCATGTACTCTTTCCTGGTCCTAACAAGCTGCCCTATCCCCTTACTTGGAAGGGACATAATGATAAAACTCCAAAGTAGTGTTCTTTTAAAAAAAAATTTTTTTTTGAGATGGAGTCTTGCTCTGTCCCCAAGGCTGGAGTACAGTGGCATGATTTCGGCCCATTGCAACCTCTGCCTCCTGGGTTCAAGCAATTCTCCTGCCTCAGCCTCCCGAGTAGCTGGGATTACAGGTGCCCTCCACCACATCTAGCTAATTTTTGTATTTTCAGTAGAGGTGTGGTTTCACCATGTTGGCCAGGCGGGTCTTGAATTCCTGACCTCAGGTGATCTGCCTGCTTCAGCCTCCAAAGTCCTAGGATTACAGACGTGAGCCACCACCCCCAGCGAAACTCTGATTTTTCAATATCTGCAATGTTACTTCCAACCTAGCATGCTTAGCCAGTCCTTATGCATGCACAGGCCTCATAACACAACCTTCTTGAGCAACCGTAAAGGCTTCTTCATGGGGCTCCCCTTTTAAGGACAGCCCAGTGTCTCTGACCCATGGGTTTTAGGCACAACTTGGCAGCCAGAAGGTGATCACAGTACAGTCTTCAACATCGCATCCGATAATACTGTTCATACTTGGGCCCCTTGCTGATACGTCTTTTCTTCAGACAAACCACATAACCAGCCCTAGACCCTCTCAGACCTATGAAACTAGCTTTCATCAAATATGCATTGGCTGGGTGTGGTGGCTCACGCCTGTCGTCCCAGCACTTTGAGAGGCCGAGGTGGGAAGATCACAAGGTCAAGAGATCGAGACCATCCTGGTCAACATGGTGGAACCATGTCTCTACTAACAATACAAAAATTAGCTCGGTGTGGAGGCACATGCCCGTATTCCCAGCTACTTGGGAAGCTGAGGCAGGAAAATTGCTTGAACCCTGGAGGCAGAGGTTGCAGTGAGCTGAGATCGTACCACTGCACTCCAGCCTGGCAACAGAGTGAGACTGTCTGAAAAAAAAAAAGAAATGCACCACATATCTGACTTTTTTAGATTTGTCATAGTTGTTTTGTCAGAGGGAAATGTGGAGCCCTAAGGAGTTACAAGAAAATTGGAAAATAGGCCAGACGCAGTGGCTCATGCCTATAATCCCAGCACTTTGGGAGGCTGAGGTGGGCGGATCACCTGAGGTCGGGAGTTTGAGACCAGCCTGACCAACATGGAGAAACTCCATCTCTACTAAAAATACAAAATTAGCCGGGCATGATAGTGCATGCCTATAATCCCCAGCTACTCGGGAGGCTGAGGTTGTGGTGAGCTGAGATCATGCCATTGCATTCCAGCCTGGGCAACAAGAGTGAAACTCCATCTCAAAAAAAAAGAAAAAGAAAAAGAAGAGAAAGTTGGCAGGAACAGAAACAGAAGTAAAGGGCAGAGAATGTTTAGAGAAATGGTGTCCACCACAAATGGCTCACTAGTGACCAAGCATCCTATTACCAGCACTCAGCTCACGGCCCAGCTGCACCAGGAATCCTGTTTGCCAGTATTCACCCAAGCAGCACGCCCTGTAAAACCTCCCTCCAGCCCTTGCCTTTTGGCAGAAAGGTCTTCCTCTTCTGTGTTGCCCGCCGCTCCCTTGCAACATATATCCCCTTTTTCTCTAATAAATCTACCTTTCTGAACTCATTCCTGTCTTGGTAAATTCTTTACCACCTGTGTGCCAGCCTCAGGCAGTTGTTGACCAGAGCAATTCCTATATCCCCCTCGTTGCTGGTAGAACAGAGAGAAGTCCCTCAGCAGACCTCTCTCTTGTTTTGATAGGCCAAAACCAAGTGACACTGCCCTCTAGCTACACGGAAGGCTGGGAAGTGAGTGTGCATTGTTCCTCACTTCCCAGAAGTGAGTGGGCATTGTTCCTCACTTCCCAGAAGACAAAGAAGGGGCTGGGCATGCTGCTGGGACAGTGGTCAGCAGGTCTGGGTGCTCTGTGTCAGGGAGTGGGAAGGCCAGCATGTGCTCAAAGATTAATGCTCATGTGTCTGTCTCCTCCTTACAGGCAGAGGCAGCATGGCAAGAGAGGGCAAGAGGCTGCCATTATGGGCACAGTGGTATCTGCTAGGGCTGAGCAGGAGGAAGAGAGCTCATCAAGGTACATGGTTTGAGGGGAGGAATGAAGACAGACCCCCACCTGCAAGTGTCAGGAAAGACACCCTTTGGTGAGATTGGCCTCCATCACCATGCCAAGTGAGATCAGAACTCCATTGCCCTGCACGTGAAGTTGGAGGTGCTGTGGAGGTTTGAAGAGAGTGAGAAATTGACGTGGATTGACAGGGCCCTAGGGCTGGTCCCCTCCACTGTTGCCTCAATCCGTGTCAACAAGGACAAGATCTGGGCTAATTCCTGCGGCCGCTCCAGTTAAGTGCCGTGCAGCTGACCTGCTGCTGGGGTGTGGTGATGGGCCACATGGAACGCCTGTTGAGCCTGTGGATTGGGGAGCAAAAGCAACAAAACTTACCTGTCAGCACATGCTCATCCAGGACGAGGCGTGCTGGCTGTTTGTACAGCTACAGCAAGAGCAGGGCGATGGTGCCCAGGCTGAGAGCTTTGGGGCCAGTAAGGGCTGCTGATGGATAAGCCAGCCATTGCTGACACCCAGGCTGCTGCCCAGTATCCCTTGGTGTTACGTATCATCCTGGAGGAGGTCTGCTACTCACCACACCTAGTCTTCAATGTGGATGAGACGGGACTGTTCAGGAAACGGATGCCCAAGCGCTTGCTGCTGGCATTGGAAGGGGTGACTGTGCCTGGGCCCAAGGCCTCTAAGGCCCATCTGACCCTACTGCTTGGTGGCAATGTAGCCAGCAACTTCAAGCTAAAGCCTCTGCTAGTGTACATCTCAGAGATTCCTCAGACCCTCAAGGGCTGCCCCAAGGCCAGCCTCCCTGTGCCTTGGTGCTCCAATTGCAATGACTGGTTGACTCCCAGCGTCTTCCAGGATGCTTCTGCCCTGCCATGGAGACCTATGCTCACTGTGGCCTCCCACATCATGCCCTGCTGCTTCTGGATGGTGCGCCCTACCATCCTGCCCATCTGCGTGGCCTTTCAGCCCATGTGTACGTTGAGTTCTTGCCCAAGAACACCTCAGCCCTAATTCAGCCCATGAACCAGGGCATCAACACTGCCTTCAAGGCCCACAACCTGCGCCGCACACCAGCCAGCTGGTCCAGGAGACTGCTGATGAGGACTGGCCCTCTGCGTGGGAGTTCTGGGGCAGCTATACTGTCATGACTGCCGTGGACAGTATCGCCGAGGCCTGGGCAGAACTGCAGCCTGCTACCAGGCACAACGCCTGGAGGAATCTCTGGTCTGAGTGTGTGCCTGCTGGTGCCCCCGAGGCTGGTGTGGTGCCCAAGCTCCGCCACAACACTGTGGCACTAGCTAGCCATGTGGCTCTTGGGGATATGGCTGAGGCTGATGTTGCCTGCCTGCTGCAGGCCTGTGGGGAACCTCCCACTCCACAGCGTCCCCCAGGATGCAGAGGATGGGGCCACGAGCACCTCTGGGCTGCCTTGGGAGGCAGGGAAAGGCCTGGCCTCCAAAAGGTCACAGCCAAAGCTCAGAGAAGCCATGAAGAGTACAGAGACCAGAGGGCTGGTGAGGGAGTTCTGAGCCATGAGCAGCTGGCCCAGGTTCTGTGTCACTTTGCTGCTGGCCTTGATTCCTTCTGGAGAATGAGCACAACTGGGAGCATAGCCTGTGGGTGTCCCGGGGTATCCTCAGCGCTCTTGCCCACCTCCAGGAGCTACACTGAGACAGGAGGCTCAGGCGGCTGCATCGTTAGGAGGCCCTATGTCAGTGGCAACAAGGGAGTTGGTGGGAAGCTTGCATTTGTTCCAGGAGAGGGCTACAGAGCATGGGTGAGTGGCCCAGGGCACAGGCCTGGAGGGACAGACTTCTGCAGCTGTTCTGCATGATTCTGGGCTTGGGCCTTATCTCAGATGAACTCTGCCTAGTGATCTTTTATTTCTGGGGGGCAGACACTACCTCTTCTCGCCCATGGTTCTCACATCTCATGTCCTGTGGCCTTTCTGCAGTGACAAACACATAGCACCAGGCTTGGGAACAAGAAGGTACTGTTCCCCATCTGTGGGTCAGCCGCAGGGCTCAGGAACACCCACCCATGGTTGAGATGCACCCTGAAGCCACAGTAATTGCCCACCAGGGCGGCCTTCACCTGCGCCCACGCCGGCTGCTGCCGCAGAACAGACGCACCTGAGCCGCCCTCACAGCCCCGCCCGCTCTGGGACGTGGGATGGGGTCGGGGTCGCACCTGAGGGGCGGGGGTGGAGAGGACAGCGCGGAAAGGAGCTTGCAGGGCGGCCAGAAGCTCCGGTCCTCGTGTGTTTCGTCTTCGCTTCCGCGCGGCTGGGCCAGTCCAGGCAGGTCCCCAAGGTGAGTCCCGGCGCCGAGCGCCCAGAGGCATCGGGAAGCCGGGGCGGGGGGTGGGGGGCTGTGCGGTGAGGGGGCGGGCGGCGGCGGGGCGGGGACCGGGACTGGGGGTCCCCCGGGGTAGGGCCCTTTTCCCCGTTTCCCCAATTCCTGGCATATTACAAGTGCCCTAATTTGTACAGCGAATTAATCCACTCACCGCGGCCCTAATGAAAGCTCCTGGGTAGCGGCTCCGCCCTGAGTTCGACTCTCCTCTGCGACTCCAGGTCTTTGTCCGCTTTCCCGCCTTGCTCGCCCTGAATTGTTCCCCTGCTCTGGGATGTTCAGCATTTTCGCAGCCTGGGACCGGGTCCTCGTTGTTCCTTCCGCGCTTATGTGCGTGTCCCTCCATGCATGGAAACGGGGAGCGCGTTCCCCGGACACCCTTGCTCAGTCAGAATGAAAATCCAGATCCTTGACCCGGCAGGGTGGCTCATGCTTGTAATCCCAGCACTAAATTTAGGGGGAATAGGTGGGTGGACCAGCCTGACCAACATGCTGAAACCTAGTCACTACTGAAAATACAAAAGTCAGGCCGGGCGCGGTGGCTCACACCTGTAATCCCAGCACTTTGGGAGGCTGAGGCGGGAGGATCATGAGCTCAGGAGATGGAAACATTCCTGGCCTACATGGTGAACCCCCGTCTCTACTAAAAATACAAAAATTAGCTGGGTGTGGTGGCGCGTGCCGGTAATCCCAGTTACTGGAGAGGCTGAGGCAGCAGAATCACTTGAACCTGGGAGGTGAAGGTTGCAGTGAGCCAGGATCATGCCACTGCATTCCAGCCTGGAGACAGAGTGAGACTCTATTTCAATAAAAATAAAAAATAAAAAAAGTCGGCCATGGTGGCACACTCGTGTAGTCCCATAGTCCCAGCTACTGCGGAGGAGCAGAGGTTGTAGTCAGCTGAGATGGCGCCACTGCACTCCAACCTTGGTGACAGAGGGAGACCCTGTCTCAAATAAATAAATAAATAAATAGCCAGCTGTGTAGTTCCAGTTACTTGGGAGGCTGAGGTGGGAGAATCACTTGAACCCGGGAAGGGGAGGCTGCAGTGAGCCAAAATAGCACCACTGAACTGCAGACTGGGTGACAGAGACTCTGTCTCAAAAAAAAAAAAAAAACAACAAAAAACAAAAAACAAAAAAACAATAATAATAAAATCCAGAACCTTACTGAGTTGAAATCCTGCAAGATCACCCCAGCCACATTAACCTTTGCCTGTGCTGTTTCTGCTACCCAGAATGTCCTCCCTCCAGCTGTCTCCTCCTTGGCACCCTTCTGGGGGGTGAGGAAACCTAAGTGGGTGGGATGGGGCTGCCTGGGTCTGGGGAGCACAGATCAGCCCCTTTAAAAATAGGCATTGGTGGCTGGGTGTGGGAGGCCGAGGCAAGAGGACCCAGAGTAGCCTGGACAACATAGTGAGATCTCATCTCTACAAAATAACTTAGCCGGGTGTGGTGCTGCACACCCATAGTCCTAGCTACTTGGGAGAATGAGGTAGGAGGATTGCTT